CGAACTGGGGATGAGGGTGGAGAAAACAGTGCAACAATGAATGAATGAAAACCCAAAAATCTCTGTAAATGTTCATTAAAACTAATAAAATTTAATAAAAAAAAAGATGAAAGTAGTACAAAGAGTCACTGTATCAGAAAAAAACTGGCTGACACAGAAGTATCTCATGAAATAATATATGAGCAAGAGCCTGTGGTGATGAAGAAGGAAGTTCATGTTGCTCTGAAGGAATTGGCAAAAAACAAGGCTCCAGGAGTTGACGGCATATCAACTGACCTATTTCAACAAACAGACGCTGACATGGATGTGCTCACTAAGTTGTGCCAGGAGATCTCGAGGACAGCCAGCTGGTCAACTGACTGGAAAAGATGGATATTTGTTCCCATTCCAAAGAAAGGTGACCCAACAGAGGGCAGAAATTATCGAACAATATTACTAATATCACATGCAAGCAAGGTTCTGCTCAAAATTATCCAAAAACAATTGGAGAAATATGTCAACAGAGAACCACCACATGTGCAGGCTGGATTTGGAAGAGGTCATGGTACTAGAGATATTATAGCCAATGTTAGATGGATGTTGGAAGAAATTAGAGAATACCAGAGGAATGAATGTTTATCTGTGCTTCACTGACTATGCAAAGGCTTTTGACTGTGTGGATCACAACAAGCTATGGCTGACTCTGAGAAGAATGGGAACCCAGAATATTTGATTGTGCTTATGTGAAACCTATACTTGGACCAAGAGGCAGTCGTCAGAACAGAGCACGGAGACACTACATGGTTCAAAATCAAGAAGGGGGTCCATCAGGGATGTATTTTGTCTTCATACCTTTTCAATCTATATGCAGAACAGATCATCCGAGACGCTGGGCTGTACGAGGAGGAATGTGGCATCAGGATCGGTGGAAAAGTGATCAACAACCTGAGTTATGCAGATGATAAAACCCTGCTTGCTGAAACTGAGGAGGACCTGAAGCACCCGCTGCAGAAGGTCAAGGACTGCTGCCTTCAATATGGATTGAAGCTCAACATCAAGAAAACACTCTTGGTAATCCAGGAAATCAGGAGACTAATTGCATTGGGAAAGTCAGCTATTAGGGACCTCTCAGGAGTACTGAATAGCAACGACGTCAGGCTGGAGACCAAGGTGCACCTGATCCAGGCTATAGTCTTTGCAATTACATGCTATGCATCGGAGAGTTGGACAGTGATTAGGGATGATAGAGAATTGATGCCTTTGAGCTGTGGTACTGGAGAAGAATGTTGAATATATCATGGACTGCTAGGAGAACAAAGAGGTTTGTCCTAGAGAGGGTGAAGTCAGAATGCTCCTTGGAGTCAAGGATTCTGAAGCTTTGTCTGACATACTTTGGGCATGCTGCAAGGACGGACTGGTCCTTAGAGAGGGACATCATGTTTGGGAGAGTGGAGGGATGGCACAGGAGAGGAAGACCCTTGATGAGATGGAACAATTCTGTGATTGGGGTGGTAGGAATGAGTGTGCCAGAGATGGTGAGGTTGGCACAGGATAGACCAGCATTTAGGGCTCTTGTACATAGGGTCGCGATTGTGACAAGCAACTTAATGGCACATAACAACAACAACAACAATGCTCACAACAAGTAGAAGAATGCTATCCACCGCATGAAGTATATTTCCAGATAATACACCTTCTATAGTTAACCTTTCCGTATCGTTGTCTATCCGTTTAGAGACTGAAAAGTAAAACCAGACAAATATAGCAGTACCCTAAAAGCAAATTCCCATGATGCTTCTAGAATAAACACAAGGTTAAAGAGAACAAAATACCCCTTTCAAAAAGGTGCAATGAAATTACCAGTGACCTCTGTTTAGTGCCATATTGAGAGTGGGTTCTTTGGGAAGTGATAATAAGGCTGAAACCTAGTTTTAACCTTGGGCTTAAAGGATTTTTGGAACAAATAAGCGCTACCTGAAAACATTAACTATTGCCTTGAACTGTTTTATGGATGATATTATAAAAATGTCCAAAACTTCAACCAAAATAGAGAAGAGAAACACTACACAATAAAGTGAATGAAGACCTAAATAGCGAGCCCTGCCCGGTCCAGCCCGGTCCCCGGGAGGATGAAGTTCGTGTACAAAGAGGAGCATCCATTCGAGAAGCGCCGCTCTGAGGGCGAGAAGATCCGAAAGAAATACCCGGACCGGGTCCCGGTGATAGTAGAGAAGGCTCCCAAACCTCGGATAGGAGATGTGGACAAAAAGAAATACCTGGTGCCTTCTGATCTCACAGTTGGTCAGTTCTACTTCTTGATCCGGAAGCGAATACATCTCCGAGCTGAAGATGCCTTGTTTTTCTTTGTCAACAATGTCATTCCACCCACCAGTGCCACAATGGGTCAGCTGTACCAGGAACACCATGAAGAAGACTTCTTTCTATACATTGCCTACAGTGATGAA